CACCGAAGTTTCCCTCAACTCCATTTACAAATTACCACTCGATTGCACTTGACTCGTTTAAGGACGCTTCTTCATGATATACCTTTACATATATACCTAAATAAGCCTAATCCTAACCAAATTAATTGTAATTATTTCATTCGAAAAGATTGTTCAAAACATTTTCTAAAATCTATATTTATTAACTATGTCTAGGATAATCAGCTCGTAAAGGCCCCGGCCCAGCCATACAACTATATATAAATTAAATGCTACTGTAACCCACTCCGATTGATCGATTTGATACATTTTAGATAGTTCAACTATTTTATACCCCACAAAAAAGCAACAACAAAGTTTTTATATACATACCGAACTCAATTAATTAATTAGCACCTAAGTTAAGTTTGTTATTTTTCAATATATATATATGATGGCAAAAATAATAAAAATATTTTTGGATTTCGCTCAAAATATGAAACTATTTTTACCACTGATGGCAATTCTTTAAAACTGTACAGTGCTTCTCAAACTTCCATAATACAATTTTTGCATCATAACATGTAAGCTTTTTTTAGCTTTATGGTTTTAGTTTTGTTTGTTACTTTATCTTTGTTTGTTTTGCTCAGCTCTTTGTTTACTTGCCAATTAAGCTTTCAAGTACTGAAAATCACTTTTAGATAAAACTAGGCATGTGTGGGGGTGTCAAACTGGTCTCTAAAAATACAACCCGCTTTTTGATACTGCTTATCAATGGTTCTGCCAACTTTGTTTTTGTTTAAATATTATGCAATGAACGCTAACTTTTTCACACATATAAGTAGTCGTAATAGTAGTGAGTGCAAGCTAAGACAAATTTCTTTCACATATTTACTTAAGAAGCGCTCTGTTTTCATTAGACCGAAAACACTTTCGAGAAATCCAATCTCCCAAGACCTTGAGAATTTAAGGTCAGCAAAGCTAAAAGAATTCTCTATAGATATGTATATGTTCAAGAAGACACTGCAGCATTTAAAAACTTAAACTTAAAAGTCGGAGTGACATACAAATGTAGCCGAAATTCAGTGGGAACTGGATTTGTTATAGGTACCCTAGAAATAACTCAGGCCATCTTATAAAGGCGAAAGCTAAATTACTTATGAGATATTTGTATTTCGATCAAAATATAAATATTTTCTTTAATCACTTAGTTGATAATTGAGAATTTAGCTTAATTGAGATTGTCAGAACAAAAATCAAAAATTAATAGATTCTTCTAAAATCTCTTAGTATGAACTGTTTATGCTTCTAGAAGAGCTTCTCAAACTGTGATATTATATGCTACGAATTTTATATCATTATGAGAAATATTCCATCAGTGCCTCTCAATCGGCGAGCTTTTAATAACCACGCCACAGTTTCCATTCCGATTTTCATTGTTGTTTGTTTTGTTCGGTTCTCTGTTTACCTGCGAGCTTTATGAATTAAAAGCGATCACCATGTGGAATCAAATGCCACGAGTGCTGGTGATAAGCCACAATCCGAGATTGTATCTGCTGGGGACTCAAAAGTGGCAATAAAGTAAAGCCCCACAGATGTTTGAAGGCCCTTATCAGCACTCGGAGTTCCAGTCGTCCGACGATCCCCAGACCAAATCATAATAGCCCACGATTACGCAACACCATGGAACTTTTTCACTCAATACGATAAACGAATACGTCTTTAATTTACGCACATATTTGCATAGAACATGGTAATTGCACAGTCAAAATTGCAAAATAGGGGGTACCCAAACTTAGTGCTATATGTATATAAATGCAGGTCTGGTGTGGATCTGTTAGTAACCTAAGCGTCGAACTTCTCCTTCTTCATCAGGTCGTACACCACGGAGAAGTCCTTGTTGCCCAGACCCTTCTCGCACAGCGACTGGTACACCTTGTGGGCCAGCGATCCCAGCGGGATGGGCGAGTTGGAGGATTTGGCCACCCCGGAGGCCAGGCCCAGATCCTTGGTGATCAGGGCCGTGGAGAAGCCGCCGGCGTAGTCCCTGTTGGCGGGGGCAGTGGGGCAGACGCCGGGCACCGGGTTATAGATCTCGGAGGCCCAGCAGCGGCCGGTGGAGGAGTTGATGATCTCGGCGAAGACGTTGGCATCCAGGCCCTGGCGCACGGCCAGATTCATGGCCTCGGAGACGCCGATCATTGAGATGGCCAGCATCATGTTGTTGCACAGTTTGGCGGCCTGGCCCATGCCATAGACGCCGCAGTGGGTGATCCGCTTGCCCATGCACTCCAGCACGGCCTTGACCGCCTGGTACTCCGCCTCGGTGCCGCCCACCATGAAGGTGAGGGTGGCCTGCTCGGCGCCGGGAACTCCGCCGGAGACGGGGGCGTCGATGAACCGGGCTCCCTTGCCGCTGATCTTCTTCTGCAGCGACTTCACCAGATCAGGCGAGATCGTCGAGGAGTCAATGAAGATGGTGTCCTTGTTGACGCCATCGGCAGTCATCTCGTCGTAGGAGGCATCCACGATGGCGTTGTTTGGCAGCATTGTGATCACAAAGTCCGAGTTCTTGGCCAACTCCGAGGTCTTGGAGTAGACGGTGGCTCCCTTGGCGGCCAGACCGTCGCAGGCGGGCTTGGAGATGTCGTACACATGCAGCTTGTGGCCGGCCTTGATCAGGTTGCTGGCCATGTTGGCGCCCATGTTGCCCAGGCCCACGAACCCAATGTTCTTGCTGCCGCCCTGGGTGGACATGGCCCGCACCAGGGTCTGGCTCCAGGCATTCAGCATAGCGGGGGACATCACACGGAGCGACATGGCTGGGAAAAATACTGTATTGTTATGTAATCACGGACTGGCTACTAGCCACAAAATCTCACACACCTGTTGATCTAGAAGTCTAGGGGAAATGGGGCTGAAACTGCGAAAGTTCTACGCGATCGGACCGCTGTCAGAAGCACACTGCTCCCTGTAGCCGCCGATTCACGTAATATCACTCGTTCCAGCGGGGGCTAAAGAGTTGTCGAGTCCATGAAAAGAGCGGCATAATAGTATGTATATATCATCATATCAGATCATCATATATCAATACCAATATTATATTTGCGAATTTCATTAATAACACCAGTTTACAAAAGAAAATTGATGAAATACGCCTTTCAGGAAACCTTTGTTTTCCGGTAAGATACATCTCCCTGATTAAGAAAAGGGCACTTAAAATTTTTTCTATGGTACCAATTTTTTTTAAAGTGTAAAAAACGTTTTTAGCACTTTTTTATTTACTAACTCGAGTTGCGATAAACCGAATTCGGTCATTAAGGACTCATTTTACAGGTAATAGAATGCCCTTTAACTTTCTTATACACATCATTAAGTTCCATTCATTAGTTCAAAAGCTACACTTCGTCAAAGTTGAAAAATTTGGAAAAAAATCAAAAACGCTGGCATAAATGGCTTCTTTAAAAATACACGCGTAAAAACCGAAATTAGTTTTACGTTGTTTTCTTGATGGCTGAACCATAACGGAGAATATGCGCCATAGATCACGACAATCCGTTGGTAAATCGATTTTTAACAGATTTTTAAACGAATATACCCAAGTTCATTATTCGGGAGCAGCGGCCGTTAAACGTTATTTTAAATTTTCAGTGCTGGGGAACGTAAGAATTTGGTGCAAGTTGTTATGCATAACGTCAGTTTCTTTGCTATTAGCGCTGGGCAAGCTAAAGAGTATGCGATTGCAGTTACGAGGAAATCATTTTCATATATTTTTAGCAAGGAAACTGACGTTATGCATTATAATCGGAATTTCTTTTACAACTAGTCGAAATAAAATTTAATTTTACATTTAAAGGGGTTTTTTATATGTGACAAAAAAGGTTTTCGAAAATGTTATGATATTTAGATCATGTTCTAGGATTAAAATATTTTTATGATTTTGTAATCTTGTTCCTTAATTTTTTCCAAAATAAATATAAAAAACTTGTACATTTTAAAGTTTATTATCAAAAAGACAACTTAAAAGATAGGGACGACAAGTATATGTATAACACAAATGTTTTTAATAAATGTAAAAGGTTTATATAAAGATACTTATAATTAGAATTATTATTCTAAAATATTTAAGAGTGGTGCTCATTCCTTTATATATAAATACATGTTTTTTCTGGCGTAGCGACAACTCTGCCAGATCAAAACAAGTTCTCTATAGCTCTGCTCCCTCTCTTTAGATCCACCATATAGTAAGCACATAAGTACTATACATTCCAGTGACGCCGGCAAAAGCTCAATGGTTCTGTCTTTCCAACGCTTTTATTTGATTTATGTTCTAATTGGCCCACACATGCCGTTGTTTCGACTATCAGCTTGGGCAAACTTTCGATTTCATTTACTTTCCCTGACCTTCAGCGTTTCGGGGGGCCTGTGTTTATGGGGAGGTCTAGAAATTGTGGGTGTGTCAGCTTGTCGTCGAGTGACGAGACCAGCGGCTTCCAAACTGTAAGCTTTCACGGTTTGATTTCAATAAGAGTGTTTGCCTATAGGATCCAGCTTTATGGTGTTGCCTAAAATTAAATAAATAAATTTAATAAAATTCTGGCATTTCCACATCGAACTTGCTCGGTTCATCGTCTCCGGCTTTAAACGAATAAATGAATGAATGACAACTTGTGAATCGCTTCAATTGCGTGAAATATCGTGCATAACTAAATTCGCACGCGCAATTTCCAAACTGAAGTTTTATTTTACACTCACTTCAAGGGTACATTTACCTTCATGAGATCATTTTATAAATAAGAAAACCTGTTAAATGCTTACTTCTAGACTATGCTATAAATATCTCAATACCTCCTTATTTCCGCCTATTTAGGTAAACTTTAAATCTGAATAAAAAATGTATGAAAATATTATACTAATTTTACTTTATATACTTAACTAAAATATATCATCCATCTTTTTAGGGTATTCGAAGTTCGCTTACTTAAAAACAAACACTTTAATGTTTTTCTTTTTGCACCTTTCTTACACTAGAGCGTTGCCAATACTTGATCCCACAATAAACAATTTGATGTTTGGCGATTTTGCTTTCTTGTGCTATTTTTATCACAGCTTTCCGAACCCCAATTGGCGGAGATAGCTTTTTCACCCAAACTGTACAATGGACATAAGGTTCGATGCTGTTGCCGCAGTTGTTTTAATGTTGTTGTTCACATAAAATCGGCATGCATGAAATTGCACTACTCGAGCTGCGTTTCGCAAAATCTCGGCCAATTTACGACCCGCCTGTCGTGGCCCGAATCTTACGCAATCCGGACTTCGCAGCAACAACATCGTTATGCTTTATCAAAAGAAAACAGCTGGAGTACACACGAAAATCAAATCATCTTTATATAGGTATACCAACCATATTGTACTTAGTTTAAGTTCGTATTTTGTGTATTTATGATATTATTTTAGGTGTTCAAAGAATGTTTTACTTAGCTCAACTCAGTTTTTTTGTAGATCTTTGACTTTTGAGTACATTATTTTAAAAACATAAGCTTAATATACATTTTAAAATAGACAAAATATGAAAAATTAACATAATATAGTAACTTAGTGTATAAATATTTTTTCATATTTGATAAACAGAAATTATGTTGCAAGTTTCTATAAATATGTTTCTCTTGACATTAAATTTTGCTGAAAATCAGAGTACCGGTCAACATGGTTAAAGACCCTTTTTACGGATTTACCTCACACCTTTTAACGATTTTAAACAAACTATCAATTAATTTCTCCACGGTTTTATAGGTTGTTAAATTAGAGTCATTTCAATAAAAGAGATATGTGCGACAACCTTTTATATAATTTTTTTCTCTGCAGTATTCATTAAATTAAACTTGATTTCGCTGGTTCTCTTCAGTGAATATATCGGAGCTGCATAATCGATCTCGGCGGTCTCCGTTCGAACCGCCGCTGATGATTTTTTGGTGATTTATCTGTGGCAAAGCGTCTGCAGCCTCCGCCAACGTTCGAATCTCACCTAAGTGCATTTCAATTTGGGGAGTGGAGCGAATCGAGATCGCGACAATGGCGCAAAAATCCCATCGAATGGGGGACATCGGCTGCCCAGCAGCGCTGGCTTACATAATCGTTTGTCAATTGTCAAAATACCGGCAAGACCCTTATCTAACGCCACAAAGTGCAATTCAGCGAATGATTAACACGAATATGGGCCGCGACAACCACAGCAACAACAGGTGAGAGCTCTTCTCTTTGAAACAATTTACAATTTACAAGCCAAAAAGCCAGAGGCGCCAAAGAAGCCACAAGCGAAGTGAGGCATTAAAGCGCAAAGACTACAAGTTTCAAGAGGACTGTTTGGGCTTGGCTTTGGAAAATGTTCATGTTCATGGCATTTGTACACACTCCCATGCGTATGTACATCAAGTATACGCAGCGGTGTGCCAAGCTCATTAGGCAGCCATTATGGCATTATAACATTTCTCTGCGGTGCCACTAATTTCCATGTCAAACACAGGCGGACAGCGAAATTTCACTCATAGTCAACAGCGCACCCACAAAACAGCGTGCACTTGAAGACGGCTGAAATAATTCGCGTTGAGATTGAATTTTATTTGCCGCAAACATTGCATTATTAGCGAACATTACAGTGCGATGCAGGAGATTAGGGGTAAGATGGGCTGGAAAAATTGGATAATATCTTCATTTTTATTTATTTGGTTATTCAGTAAGTATTTTCCTGTGTGTTGAATTAAAATCCAATATATTGCTTTCTGTAAGGGGTGTTAATAGCGTGTTTGATAGGTACTAGTAGTGAAGATTTTATTAGTATGAACTTGTTGTTAAAGTTAATTAAAAATATTTTTAGAGGTATCGATACAACTGAACTCGTTGTAGATTGTAATTAATATAATTTTTTAAGTTAAGGGTACAACTGTAAAAACAATTTGAATTACATTTTACTACGAGTTTATTGCTATGGACCAATAAACTCCTTACTCTTTACACTATGCTATCAAACTAAAAACCATTTTATTTGAAAGTTAAAGTGCAATTTACATGTGTATTTAATAGACTATTTCCATTACCACAGCTTAACACATTTTGCTAAATTTGCATTATCTTTTAAAGGCGCTCCCATATGGAAAATTTGGTCTTTAAAAAATAAATGTGCACTTTTTAAAAATCGTAATTTAATACATATTCAGATAGCTATCTATAAAACGAATTGCTTGTTTTCGTGTTTGTATATTGAAAGCTTAATGGTGTTTGCGTTTTGTGAAAGATTTTTTTATACTTACTCATTCATCCGCAAGATATAATTGCTACAGATGAAATGTATCTTAAATGTATCTTAACAAAATTTAATTAGTTTCCTATTCTACTTTCTTTTTGCAACCTTAGAACTTGTACTGATACCAAGTGACACGGGGTTTTGATTCCATTAAAGATGCTTTAAATCAATGCCCTAAGTCGGGTATTATATCAGCGAATCGGACTGTGTCGCCTGGATCTGGTTTCTTGACCCGCCCTGAACTCGCCGCACGCAATTCAATGAACGAGACAAGTCGACGCAATCTGCATGCCACCGCGTTGATCCGTGACTCACCGAGGAACACATTACAATTTGCCAACCGTCGCTTGTGACATCGTGAGCGACTACTGACGTTTTCGGGCAGCGGCTGCCTGTCTTCGATTTCGTTTCCGGCCAGCACGTAATTGAAATTACATTAAGCCAGAAATTTTGGCAGTGAAATTGCGTTCGATAATCACTTTCCTGGGGTTTAATTGTTTCCCTGAGCGGCTCTAGACTGGACTTTCCCTCCGCGCTGCTCTCGATCAGACTCTCGGACCTACATTAACATGCCAACTGAAGAGACCACTCCAAAACGATATGAAAATGAAAAACTAACCTCACACACACTCGCCCAATGCGGAAAATTGAAATGCAGTCGGAGTCACTGCAGCGAGTTTGGGGAAAGGAAAGTGAAATTGCCACCATCCCCGTCGTTTTCCCAGTGCCACAACTCAATTCGATTCGATTCGTTTTCGATTTCGTTCGGTTTTTGAATCGTTTCTAAGGTTCGCGCTTTTTAATACGCCGCATGCATAATTATTATGTGTACGTCCAATCGTATCTCCTCACTTAGTCCCCATTTGCCGACACCCTGGCCTATAGTTTATTGAAATTGAAAATCATTTTTGTTTTTGAAAGTGGTAAAATTATTCGCTGCCCGACAAAACACACATTCCATTCCACCGTTTAAAGCGAATGTTTTTTTTTTGGTTTGTCGTAATTTTTCACCGCGATGTTGTTTGTGCTTGGGATATATGTGTTTTCCATCTTTTTTTTGGTCACCGTATTACAAAATTTTAATTGCAGTCGGCAGAGTGAACCAAAATAAATGCGCTGGCGGAAAGTGAAATGCGGAGAGTGGATGCTCTTCGAAGTGGCTGGGAAATAATTGAAAAAGGTAGCACTGAAATACATCGAATTGTATAGCCGGGTATAGGTAATAATTCACAGTCATAAAACGGTTTAAATACAGTTTTATTGATATTATTTTCACTTAATATTGTACTACAAACTAGCAAAAAATACTGAGCAACATGTACCAAATTAGCTGATTAGACCCCCTTTGTTCGAGCCAATCTCCTGCTGGTTTCACCCACTGATACACTTCCCCTGCTGTTTTATCCCCCCATCTGGATCGTCAGCTACATCAACATAAAAACCAACAGATAAATGTTTGGCTAACCCAAATCCAAGCACAAGGAAGGAAACCAGTGAGGCGCTCGAAGAAAAAGTGGGCTCCAGAGGCTCTCCGCCGGCAATCCAGTTTAGATTTCGACCACATTTTGACCAGACACACTGATGCAGCGGAGCAGGAAGCGTTTTATGGCCAAGAGCCATCGTTTTTGGCATCACCCGGGGGGCAGGGGCAAAAAGTTGTCTTACTTTCGTGAGCCTAAAAGCACTTTTCTCTCGATGCGTCGACGCATCGACATCCCAGCTCTCTCCTTCGGCGGATTGCATAAGTGAAATATATTGATGTCTCTTGTCGCAGTTACATCAGCCATCCGCGCCTTATCACCTGTCCTGGCCCCGAAAGATTCTTCGCCTAATTAGGCTGAGTTATGCCAGGAAAGCCGAGCCAATTAAGTTGATCTATCTGTATCTTTCTGTATCTATCTGTATCTGCTGTGGGAACCATTCGACTCGAATTTTATGCAAATCTCGTCACTCTTTTCCGCATACGTCGTGGAAAATGCTCAAAGAGCTTGGGAAAAGCCATTCATAAGCAGGGCTGAAGGTCGCGATCTGTTACCTCTGCCATTTGGCATCGCCTTGGGCGTGTGAGCCAGCCAGCGAGACACCTGTGAAAAGGTCAACGCTAATTGCTCTTAACCACTGCCCGCCAATTGATTTCGACTTCGATTTCGATTGATTCTCGAACTGCTGAGCAGGTGAAAGTGCTTTGTTCTAGTGGAAATACCAGCGGACGGAAGTGCCGGACCGTCGCGGTTGAATGATCGCCGAAAGATGCCGTCACATAACTCAGGCCGCGAGGTGGAAACCCTCCTCGTACGTCATCGGTCCGCACATAACTCACGCCCACCTGGGGCGGCAGGTGAGACAAGACAGGTGGGCAGGCGTTTTGACAAGCTGACTGATTGGATTTGCGGCCGAGGCGCTGCTCCTGTCAATGCACTCATCTCGATTGCGATTGCGGCTGGAAAATTGAAAATGCGAAGGAAAAGCGAGCGCCTTGTTTGGGTTACCCAATGCATAGCGGCTAATGGCGGACGCTGAATAATATGCTAATTAACTCAATTTCCACGATCCGTAAACGTCTCACTTGGACAATTGTTTGCCTGGCGGAAACCGAGCGGCTGCCGCTATGAGAATATTTTAATTGCCCGTCAAAGAAGCTGAAAAAGACCACTTTTTACGGCCAGTTCTGGCCGACTACGAAATATTTGGCAACCAAGTAGGTACACAGAAAAAAGTTACTAGTTGGTTTTTACTTAAATAAAGTTGGTATGACTTAAAATTTTAAAAAAATTTATTCCAAAATAAAAAGCACATTCAACAAATGAAAAAAAATCATAGCTAGTTACTTAGGTAGGTTAATATTTTAAATGACCCTCAAAGAAGCTGAGAAAAACCTCTTTTTAGGCCAGTTCTGGATGGCTACGAAAAATTTGACAACGAAACTGAAACACAAATTATTATGACTTAAAATTTTAAAACTATTCATTACAAAAAATCTAAAATCACATTACATATTAGAAAACGAGATTCGCTTTACCTTTTTTTGAAAATCAACCTAGTTCGTTAAATTATTTAATTAACACATGTAGCATTATGTTGCATATTTTAGTTTTCACGCTAATTATCGCAAACACCCCAACCATATATTTAAGCTTACCACTCAAAATTAGGCTTTCTTTGTAATAACAGTCTTTGTTAAGTTTGTAACTAATTTGTAACAAAAGACAAGTCGGCAAAGGTCAGCTGAGAAAAATGGTTTCAATGCGTTTTAATTGGTTTTATATCAATCGGTTTATGCGTTTCCTAACAAACCAACTAAAAATGCGGGGAAACGCATAAAAAAAACCAAAACAAACAATTCAATTAAACTCATAATGGAATTTGTGCAGCAACAAAACGACCTTGGCTGCAGAGCAAAGCCTAAAAAGCCAATTAAAAGCTAGATGCACGGCTCGAAAGCCACATGGCACTGAGTCAGAATTATGGAATTGCTTGGTATAGTATCGATATATTTCAGCGAGGGGTGTAACGCGACTCATGAGACCCACACAGATCGATGTTCCCAGCAGCAGAAAAAACTTGTCGCCAGCAAAGATTGCAAAACTGGAACAGCATCGCCGCAACTTAAGCTAAAACGTGTTAGCATTTATGGCCAAGTTGATTTGCATTTAGTGCATTCTTGTGGATACCACCGCCATCCACCTCCTCCGCTGATAATTTCAATTAACCACAACAAATCATTGGAGGATCTTTTCAGCTAGGAGCTTAGCCTGCTGGTTGGCCAAGTCTTTTGTTGGCCCAAAAGCTGTAAAAAGCCGCTTTGGTTGCGCCTAAGTCGACGTCGACTGCGACGGTGACTGCGACTGCGCTGCCGACGTCGACGGCAGTTGGATGAAAACCACGAGCGAACCACTCTTACTTACTTTGGCCCGCGACGCTTTTCATTTCTTCAGTCTGTTAACGGCACGCCAACGATGCAGACGCGGCTAAAACCAGCTCCGGCTAACTGTTAACTCAAGTTGTATCTTGATCTGCAAGTGTAACACTCATACGCATCGCGTATACGCACAGTGGTACCAGCGACATTTGATTTCTGTCTTTTGCCGAAAGTGCGTGAGCTTCCTGCCGTTTAAAGTGTACAAATTCCAAGTGAAATTCAACCAAATAATATATACAAAAGGAAAAGTATAACGCTTGGATTGTGGCTAATTCGAATTGGGAAGATAAAGGTCTTAATTGAATTAAGCCAAGTGAAAGAGAAACATCAGTCGCTGTCCAGGAAGAAGAAACAGCAGCTGCAGGGGAGAGCGGTAAGTGGGGTCTTTTATTTTTTTGCCCAAAAAGGCGAATAGAAATTTTAACTCTCCACTCAACTAACCACACACTCAACGCATTTGGCTGTCTTGGCAATTTTGCTGTTTATTTTTTCATGCTCTAATTATTTGGAAATTTCATTTTGTTTTTGCCCACCGACACTCGTTAACTGGCATGCAATTTGTTTGCCCAAAGACTTATGGTCGATCCACCTATCCATCCGTCTAACCAAACAGCCATCCATCCTCTAGAGAGTCAAGTTGAGTCAAGCTTTATGGGCAGACTTCCTCATTAAAAGCTAAGGTGGCCAGACCCCTGACCAAAAACCAAAAACAGAAAAAGAAACTGGTCCATTCTTTGGGTTCGCCTAGGTTTTCCATCTACATCTCCACTTCATTAACCCGATTTTCACCTGGAGAAACTTTTGGTTTCGGACAAGAAAAATCTTGTTTATCGGCCCAATTTACATATTCCGACATTTCTCTTCCCTAATCTGCGATCTGGCATCCGATCTCAACGGAACTAATGTGTGCACTTATTCGTTTGTTTGTCATTTCAACATGAGGGCCAACAGAAGAGGGAAAAAATAAACTACCCGAGGTTTTTGTTTGAAATTTTTGTTTATTTTTATGTGAACATAGCTTTTTTATATGCGAGCAGACAGCGTTTTCGAAATTAAATACTTTCTAATTACAATAAACGCAGGCGATGGCCGCCGGCCGGCCAATTGCCTGTCCCCCGTCCAGCGGAGTCCACATCGCAGCCTTTGGCAGCGGACTGAAATCACGTAGCCGCCGCATCGGCCAATGCCAGACAATATGGAAAAGGGGGACGGCGGGGGCGGGGAACAAAACTCGCGAAAGTGTCAAGAAAATATAATACCGCTCAGACTCACTTTTTCTTTATTGTCATGTCTTAATGTGGCGCCTGATGTGTTTATTTGCCCCCCACTTGTACCCCCCTCGATGAAAGTGAAACGTGCAAATGACTCTGCGTAGCTGCAGAAGCTTCCATTGCTCAGCACGTGCCTACCCATCAGCGATTCCATCCTGCCCGTGTGGTCTTCGTCTTTCGTGGCTTTCAATTACTCAACCGCAAAATGTTCAATTTGT